GCGAATAATTTTTAGACTATAGCATTTCTCCATAACAATATTGTAGAATATTGAAATTGCATTCCATTAGGTACCTACGCAACATAATACGTGGGCGACGATCCAAAAAATAAATAAAAATATATAAAAAAAAAAATTTTATTGCGTTCGAATTTTTTATATTCACAATTAATTTTATTGAAACGAATTGAAAAAATTCTCAATAAATTATGTAAATTAAATTACTGTGCGGTAAAACTGCATACGACGTTAGGTTGCTTAATGGCAAAAGATAAAGAAAAATTAACAAACGAACATTTTTACACACTCTCTGTAACAAGTTGAATAAAAAGTAGGTACTTAGGTGAAATAATTCCAGCTATAAAGACTTCAAATTTGGCATAAATATTGGAAGTTCTTGCATGCGGGCTGGTTTTGAAAATGGACTAAATCAGACGAAGGACACGCCTACCGCGCCATATAAACGAAGAACACCTCTGTTTTCCAAAAGGAATAGAAAATTGCCTTTCTGTGCATTACTCATTATCTACAACAGATAAATGTACAAAAGTCTTAACGCATATTCTATGGGCGATGCTGTACTACCGGTACCAAAATGGGAAAATCTGACCACGCCTATCCATTGTTATAGTAATTAAAAAATTAATATATTTTTCAACATTCTTATAACGGGAAGAAATAAGCTGCAAAAAAACAAAAAGTTTTTAAAATTTTGGTCAGTTTCAAATTCGAGCTGCACCGTAGCATGTCCTCCCGTACGGTTATCTGTCTGCCCAACAGTGTAGTATCAGCGATAAATATTCTCCCGTTGACGAAAATTAAAGTACTAAGGCAGCTAAGGTACTAACTGTGCTATCTTTTTTTAAATTTTCCCTTACAAGCACTCATGTGCGAAGTAATTATTATTATTATTATTATTATTATTATAATTTTAGACTAATGAAATTAATTCTTCGACTAAAAAAAAAAAGACATTGAGCACTAGCAGCACAGGCTATCGGCTCTATTATAAATAAATGTACATTAGGTAATGACCTTAGTAGTATTAATAAAGTAAAATATAGAATTGATATTCGGTTCTGAAGCTGATTTTAAATTATTAAATAAAACACAAATGAGGTATAGTATATCTATATGGTATGTTAGCATACGGTTGCTTCATATGTTCATATACTTCATATACTATCTTATCTTCTCTTATAGAAACTAAACGTATTGTTACGCAATAACTCATTTCATATGGAATGTACAGAATAATATTCCTTCCTAACCGTTACTTCCCATTTCTCCGCACGCAGTCTTACAATACAATAACAATAATTGATATGTTCTCTGTTCTTAACGCAGATTTTAAAAAAGCAATGGCTAATATGATATAAATAATATGGCGGCACACATATTTACAGTTGTAATGGCGCCCATATGAATGCAGGCACGTGTATAATAAATATATTTATTTTACAATTAAATATTAACTCCCTCACTCACTCACACATTGAATCATTTGTTTATTCATTCATTCATTCATTCATTCGCCCTTTCATTATTTTAATTTAAAAAAGAAAACCACTTGCATGCGTGTTAATGCGGTTAATGTTAGTGCTAATAATTGCTAGCAACTAGAGACAACGTCGAGATTTCCAGAGAAACTATACGAATCACAGGTGGGTCTCCTTACTAATGAAATGAAATTGTAAATAATAAAAAATCCACTTATATTTAACACCTTTAATAAATAAAACTTGAGATACACTTAACAATTTTAATACAACGTGGTATAGAGTGTACCGGCCTAGCTTGACTGTTGCGTTTTCACTTGTTTTCTTTATGTCATTTTTTGTTGTTGTTTTGAGAAGTTATGAGTTCCAAATTTGACTAGAGTTGAAAAAATCTTCTTCTTCTCCTTCAAAGATATTCATCGAGTCAACAAACGGTTGATTCGCTGTGTCACCGTAAAAGAGGCTCGGTATGAATTCGAAGTACTTTGCTTGAGCCTTAATTTAGTTCTTAACTGTAGATATACTTGGTACTTTCAGTATACACTTTCGTTGGCGAAGCACTTTTTTATTTTTTATTATTTAAATATATTGTATTTCAGGTAAATAATTTTAAGTCTTTTTTTTTGGTTTTTTTTTTTTAGTTTAGCTTTTTGATTTATTATTTATATCATTTTATTTATTTGTTGTTTTAAAGTGCGTCTTTATACCTTTACCGAGCGTGTGATCGTTAAGGATAAGCATATTACAATTGTTTACAATATATATATACAACATATTTATATATACTTACATATATAGATTTAGATAGAATTTTAGATTTAGGTAAAATTTTACCCGTACAAGATATTGCCGCATCTTCGATTAGTGAGTCCAAAAACAATTCCTTTATTTCGTCGGAATTGTCATCTAGCGAGTGCACCCAAATACAAGGACCACTTTTCATCTTGGAACGACGAATTCAAATCGAACATTGGCGAAGATAGTAGAATAAATTTTGACTTTGAATTGCAAGAACAACTTATCCCTTTAGGAACCAAAACAGTTGAGTTTGACAAATCAACCGATGCCGAAGACAAAAGCCGTAAGAAATAATTTCACACAAATTATAATTCAATTTTTAACATAAATAACCCTTTAATGCAGATGTGGTGGGTAACTGTTGTACAGAAAATGGTGAGCCATGTCCGAACCTCTGTTATTCCTTCTGTTCAAGCAAAAATAAATGTTTGTGCAAACATACTTATTATCATAAAAATGGAAAATGTTTTGCTAGCAAGTCCCAATTCCTTTTTTTTTTTTTTGGAAAATTGGAAATTACACAAGATGATATGATTTGTTTGTTTACATAGCTTTGACATTTTAACAGAGTTTTTGTTTGACTTGCCATTTAACGGACTGCGGTAACATTGCTTTGCCATTTAACAGAATTCTGTTACATTGCCTTGCCATTTAACATTTATTCTTCTCTCTAGAGTCGCAGTCACATCACCTTCAAAATGACTTGAGTAATTTGGTTGCATGGTGCCTTTTGAATCTTCTCAAACTAAATCTAAATAAATGTAAGAAGCTTTCTTTCTCAAGAAGAAAATCATTCATTACTCAGTATTTCATTGATTCGCATAGGTTGGAGGACGTCGATACGTTCACAGATTTAGGCGTTCTATTTGACCATAGATTACGTTTTAACTTGAACATTGACCTCTCGTTAAGCAAAGCTAGGTCCGTGTTTGATTTTATAAAGAGGTGGTCCAAAGAGCTTGATGATCCTTACATTACTAAAAGGCTGTACATGCGTATGCTTAGACCTACACTTGAGTATGCCTCTGTTGTGTGGTCTCCTTTATATAGGTGCTTTGTAGATTCAATTGAATCTGTTCAAAAGCAATTCTTGCTGTTTGCCCTTAGAAATTTAGGTTGGGATCCGATTGCCTCTCTTCCCCCCTATGAAAATAGGTTGCTTCTGCCGTCCTTACTGTCGCTCGAAAAACGTAGATTTTTCTTGGCGTTTCCTTCGTAATCGAAGTAATAAATGGTGCTATTGACTCGCCTGCATTACTTCACCTTGGTCAAGCTTAGTCAATGTAAATATAATTATGAGCTGTTTAACCCGCTCAGTGTTGTTTGCAAGAACCAAAATGATGTCTATCACTTATTCTCATTATCGGACTCTTTAAAGTCCATTAAAACAACATTGTTTAATGCGCGTAATTTACCTATGTCGTACTTAAACTAGCTCTTTATCTTAAAATGTCACGATGAGTCGAAAATGAATGGTTGTTAACTATTATCGGTTGCCAAGCTTATGCATGTTTGCGATGGCTTAGGGGTTCAATGCAATTTGGTCCTGTACCGGTTGTGAGGAGGAAAAATTGACGTTCATTACGATCGGAGGTGGCGTGGAAAACCAAAACCATAGTTAATTGAGCAAAGATGTGAATATATTTCTACCAATGATCCTATCAATCTTACCAATTATCACAAAAACTTGGAAAACTAAATTTTGAAAATTCATGATCACAACTTGCCACAAATCAAAGAATCTATGATTTACTTATTTCACGCAAAATCATATATAAAAGTAGAGAAATTAGTGTTTAACAAACACATTTACCGCTCACAGATTTAAAGGAACCGGTAACGAGTTGTTTATACACTTGGAGGCTGCAATTGGTAGTTCATCTAACACCAGCTAACTTTTAAATAACTCACTAACAGTTTTTCCCCCGGCCCATATAACTCTCCTAACAAAATGCCATACAACAAGTTTTAAACGATTGCGATGTTAACGTAGTTGCCTTCAGTAATGGAAGTCCCACATTGACCAAAGGAAAATGTACTTTTTTTTCTTAAATTGTAAAGATCTGCTATTGTGGATATCAAAGACTACAAAATTTTGGATTAAAGTGCAACGTGCAGTAGACAATATCGGGTCTTTGGCGTAATTAGGAGAACTTTATCAAGTAATAAGCGAAACATGTGGTCCCTCATAGTCGCACTGTGGAACACTTTAAATATTCGAATGTTTAGAAGAACAGCGTACCTTATTATAGCCTCGTAGTTCAAACCATTTCTTCTCCTTTAGGTAGTTGAAAGTCTCCGGCATAGTACATCGAATATTTATCCGTGATAGACTATCAATGATCCATAAATATAGAGGAGGGCGTATTTTTTCCTTAGTATTTAAAGGATAGCGTAGTTTAGGACGTTTTCTGACTTGAACCAGAAAAAAAGCGATTTTTTGCTCTATTGTTTTTTCCATTAATTTTTTAATTGCAAGTAACCAACAGGCTATCAACAGTTGACGGTACGATATAATTTTGGGGAAAATATTTGCATGGAATTAAACTATAGAAATAAAGTGATATGTGAAATTAATTTAAAGCTCAGTAAAATATTCGCTCATAGCAACATTGCACTTCATTCTCTTGCATTGTTAAATCCTTTGAAGGACTGTATTGCTGTGCACCTTTCACATTAATATGAAGAACATAATGATTTGCGTCATGGCTGTATAATATTTTTATTAAAAGTTGTTCTTCCCGTTGTGTATTCGGGCTTATAAAATTTCAACACTTCCGGCGATAAATGATCTACATATGGTATAAAGCATTGACTTGTTTTTATAAAATATTCCGGATTATCATTTTCTACGTTAATACGTTTTAATACGAATTCATTAGATTCTGGCTGAGTATTGTCAAAACCATGATATTCCGTTGAATTGCCAAAGCAATAACCTGAGAGTATTGCGCATAAGAAGCCATAGACCAACAATAATTGTCGCATCCATTTAACATTTTTGCTTAATTTTGCGTTGCAAGCGTCACTATAAAGCATTCTGCTTGTATTTGTTCGTTCCTTCTTTATTTAGTTAGAAGCAAAGGTTCGCAATTACGCACATTCACAGTTTAATGTTTTTGTCCATTTTTCTTTAAAAAATCCTTTAGTTTATAGGTCTCTTTGCGCGAATGCGGTTATTTTGTCACAATACAACCCAAGTGGAAGCTAAACATAATGAACGAACACGTGAAATTAACTGAACCATATCCCGACACTTGGGCAGATGACGCACTCTTTGCGCTCAGAGCGCTTAAAAGGTAAGCCATGGCAATTGAGCTAAGTATTAGTGTTAAAAACTCTTAAAATGACTCTCTCAAGCTTCGGCTCGGAAGTAGTAAAGAATTAAAGAATGCTTTTGCAGTTCGTCCTTTGAGGACCCATAGTTCATATCGTTTTGAAATGTCCTGATAGCTATAGAGCAACTTGTCCTTAAATAAATATTTCTTTTTTCTTTCTGTTTATTGAGACTAAGCCAAGCTAAACTAAGCCGAATTGAATAGCATTCTTGTCATATTTTTCCTGACAGCTCACTTTTTATAACTGGGGGATTTCTATAACAGTTTTTCGAAAAGTAGATAAAATAGTTAAAAAAGGCTAGCGAGCGAAATACCCTTTCTTACTGGCGGTACATTACGAAAAAATTTCCTGCGTGAAAGGCATTCGCATCACCGCCAAATAAAAAGTCTCAAAAAGACAACTGGCAACAGTATATTAGTTAATGCGTGATATAGATATGCTATTGTAATCCATAAATCCATTTATTAGCTAAAAATGTGAAACTAACCTAAAATAGCAAAGAATTGTAAATTAATCCGCACTAACTTATGATTCACACACAGCGCGTAAAGATCTAGCTTCTTTTCTCTTATTTTAACATATGCTTAGCCCGGCCAAAAAAGTCTGGCATAACTTATTTTCCAAATGCATAGGACAATCCATTAAATATAATAATTACCTTTAGAGCATTTGCGGCATGATAATGATAGTTACGTATAGTGAAGTTGTCTTGAACAAGTATTATCATTAATTTAATTTAAGAAAACAAAAAATGTAACGAGCGCGCGATTTTAATTCAATAAAAAGTATTTCTTATAAACCAAATAAAATCAGAGAAAAAAAATTACGTATGTGTCATGCATAGGAAAAATAAATTTGACTGGAATAAAATTCGAGGCCTACTCATTGTCTTCTTTTTAGATGAAGAGTCAACTGCGCTCGGTTAAATTGTTTTTGATTGTCGTAAGATTACGACCTCATTACCTTGTGTAAAAATCAAGTTGTACTTTTTATACCCACCACTGTAAAATTGGGGTGTATTTTTCCATAATATATCGAATACACAAAATGAAGCTTCAGAGAGAGAGAGAGAGAGAGTATATATATTCTTGAACAGCGTGAAATTCTGAGTTGAGTTAACAATGTCTGTCCGTCTGTGTATCTTCATGGTTTGCTTATTTATCATAAGGCAAACAACACAGAATGTTTCAAACTATTTTGTACAGTCCTTAAATGAAGATATATTATCTGCCTAAAAATGGGTTCATTTTAGAATGAATATGGTAGACAATGCGATTACTTTTTTCTAAATAATACTATCGAGATGGGTATCAAATAAAAGAACTTCAAGAGTAGAAGGCGAAAAACGTAGCGGTGGGTATGCGAGATTCGGCCGCCGAATATAACTTTCTTACTTCTTTGTCCTCAATAGATTAGGTTTAAGTGGTCCCCTTACGCTTAGCAAAAATTCCTTACATCCATAATTCTCCTTTTATACGAATCGGCTTGTTTTAACGCGACTTTCAATATTCTATGAACTTTCTAAATGAATTTTTCTGATGAATGTTTTTTTTATGTTTCTACAAATTTTTTCATTCTCATTCCTCGCAAATATATTTTCACAATTCCACAAAATTATGTCGAATATATGCGTAGGGATTCCTCGAATTATGCGTAGAGTGAAGACGTAAAATATCTTTTACGAAATTTGGTTTGACTTTTCAAAATGTAATTTATTTTTAATAATCTATTTAATGAATGAAGTGTGCAAGCACGAAATAATTAAGTGATCTCCCACAAGGGTTTTTTAATATCCTTTATTGTGCTATTTAGTTGCCTTTTTAGGTCTGGAACCAATCTACTATTTTTCCATTTGGCCAATACCTTTTTTACACGAATTTTTCAGGAACGTATCTATCGTGCAAAAAGGAAGTTAGGTGAAAGCTCTCTCTTGGCTCAAAGACGAACGCTATTGAAAATGGTTAGGATCAGTCCACTTTCCCGACCACTCACTATGTACGCCCTATTTTGAAAAGTCGTTATGTGGAAAAATTTTGCAATTTCCAAAACGTCTCTACAAAAGTCGCTGAATAAGACAATTGCGACATTTTAAATGGGTTATAACCGTTCCAACGAACTGCATCTTTATATGGCAAGAACATCTAATTTTCAATATTTCATGGTGAAAATTAGTTCAAATTGACATAGACATCAACCTAACCGAATTTGGACCACATAGGTCCATATTTTGAATACCACGCATATAAGGATTTTTATGAAATTTAAACCCATATATGCCAAAACTCCCTAATTGTTAAGCCTTTATGATGAAAATTTGTTCATGGGAGTAATTTGACGTACAAATTATGTGATCCAAATCTGATGCACATGGATTTATTTCTTGGGATGCACTCCGTGTAAGACTTCTCATTAATTATAAGCCCTTTTGAAAAAAGTTTAATTTTCAATATTTTCTGACGACAGTAGGGAATTTGGACAATGCAGATCTGTTTTTTAAACTCTAACATATACAGCGTTTATCACGATAAGCAAGCCCTTATATGGGGAGAAAGTTTAATTTCTACTTTTTTATAACGGAAACTGAAAAATGATAAAATTTGTAAGATATAAATTAAGTTTACTAAATTTGGATCACAGCATGTGATTTGAACTTGTTAAGATGAATTTTCCACTTTCCCATATCAAATATCCCAAATTACATTGCAAATTCAGGCAGATAACGCCAAGATATGCCACTAATAACTAAAGCATCATTCGTAAGTGTGTACATCTGAAGCATCTGAAGCATATGAAGCATTTCTTTCTATATTCACCACGTTTATTTTAAAACAAAGGAAAATTATATTCGACTTTGCTAAAAAAAAAAATTATACTAGGATGCTACGGGAGGAAAGTGGCTGATGTTACCATTTTTGCGTAAGTCTCTATTCAACATGTATGTTACGGGTATATATTTGCAACATGAGAACTCTCTTCACAGTGACTCTTTCAAGAAATGTGATCTACCTATAAAATAAAAGCCGATAGCCTTAGACGCTAGTGCTTTTAAGAGTTTAGTCTTAAATTTATTTCTCTGGCGAAATTAATAATGATTGTAATAATAATAATACCTATAAAATAGATTGATTAAAAGAAAATATTGTTTTGTTTTTGTTGCGCACCATTCAATGACATTATGTTGTCATTTGAATATTCTTGTTTGTGGGATGCAACTTCTCTAGTGTTAAATGATGCCTGTTGCTCTGCTTCTTGCTTGATCTGAACTGTTTGGTTTTGGAAAAATACCAAATATTCATACGGACCCTCTTGCTGTTGTTGTTTAAGCTGACTAACGTAACGATGCAATGATTTTTCTTTCTTTTCGTTTATTTTAAATTTATTTGTAATCAATATGTGTTAAAGATGTCCAATACAAACTTTGATGCCGAGGGCAAGCAACAAAACATTTGATCTCGTCGCGGACTAACCAAAAATGGGGAGGGCTCAGGTATATGCCAATATACGACCTAATTGAAATACCATTCTCTGCTCAAATTCGTCTCAAAGATGCATCCCTCAGCCCTTCCGGCTAGGGGCTAAAACATATAACGAAGCGTTTCGCTTCCTTACTGATAACAAATTCGTCCGCAAAAATGTCAGTCTGGTTTGTCCCTTACATGTCTTTTTTCTATCGTAACATCGTCCTTCTCCCGCACAAACCGTTGACAATTCAATGTTTATAAGAAGAAAAAAAAGAAGAAAATTGTATACACCACTCATTATAGGCTAGGTGAAAATGTGCCTAACAATAAAATATATACATAAGTAGGACACATATAAACAATATACCTAAGGCTTTGTATAAGGAAACATGTTGTAATCCGCTGAGCAACATACTAATAGTTGTTTTTAATTGTCAACAAACTACCTGTGGCATTGAATTATGCACATTTTGCAAAAGCACAGCCCTAACGGTCTTGTGGTTTTCAAAATCATGCTCAACAGATTGTAAAATCATACCTAGGTCAGCAAAAATCGCGATAGGAAAAAAATAAGAGAGCTTATAAACTCATGCATGTTGATATGATGATAGGGTTTTCTTTGACTTTACGGATAGGGGATTGTCGATTTGGCTTAGCGGTCAGACAGGTGACAGAAAGACACTCTCTCTGGCGACGTGAAACAATTAGGGACGGACGAGTGGACCTATAGACTGAGGTTGGCTGCTATAACACCCGCGACGTACCCTTTTCTTTTGCAGAATCTCGCGATACGGTTAAAGCGTAAAAAAAAAAAAATTATAATAATAATTTTTCGGTACGAACTAAAGCATTGAAAGCGTTAAACAGGAGTCGGGCTACCACGTTCGTTTTTCCTCCCACTCCCCTTAAAAATCACTCATCGAATTATAATAAATTCAACTAATAAGAAAAAAACCCGGGGGGTTCAAGTTATTTTTTTTTTTATATAAATTTCGTGGAAGGAGTCCTAGGAAGCCCTGAGCTTACCCTGGTAAAGAAGAGTCGTTACAGACAACACAACCAGGCAAAGTAATAAACAAAGATCATTTGTGCTGGTAATGAAAGTAAACTTTATTAGCGATTAAAAATTATAATTAGCTTAAAGTAATTAAAAATTATTCTAAAAATATCATATAAATTATAGGAAACTGCAAAGAAAATGATTAATATGTATTTGTAGAACGTAAACAACGGAATGCAAAAAAGCGAAAGTGTTCTTTATCGCTGAAAAGGCAAGCTTTCGATATAAATACATATATACACCCTACATCTACTAGACAAACATATTCAGCTCACTCGAAAGTTTACACAAATCAATCTTGAAGAATACAAACTTTCTCTGCTGTAGGGTATACATTTATTTCGAAATCACCCAAACACCATTCGTGTCACATTCGGAGACGTTCGAGTGTTCTAAAAGTCACTATTTACCGACCTTATGCATCGAAAAGTGTGGGAAAAAGTGGCGTAGGACACACATCTGTTACCCACTACGAACCAACCATCGAATTGCTTTTTGCACATCTCCATACGAAAGAAAGCTTTCCTTAACACGTGCGTGACGATTAGAATTCCATAACATTCTTCTGCAGCTAGCTTTTTTTATAGCCAGAAAATAAATCGCACAATAAACCAAAGACACTTTAGAGATCATACCGTAGGCGATTCTTACGATATAATTTTGATAATCGTGTTAAAGCAAGGAAAGAGAAAAACACGATAAGGAATAAAAAATTGTGTTCAATTTATTTGCATCATTGTGCTTATGGTATTCTTATCGAAACTGGAAAAGAGAAATATATACGCTCGGAAAATGCACGTAAAATAAGGAACGAATATGCCATAGTGATAAACTGTACATTGCTTATAATAATCAAAGAAACATTTTCCTCCTTAAGAGGATAAAAATAATCCTTTGCCAATTATGCAAACAAAGATATAAAAATATAAACTCGAATAAACGGCTACAGAGGTTGATTGATAGTTTATGGCCAATGTGCGATTATCTTCTTAACAGATCAGCAATTTTGGGCATTAAACAATAAGAACAACACTTTAATTGCAAGAACCACAACAATTATTATTAATCGTAAATAAATGAAATGGAATACCTTCTCTTCCCTTTAAATGCAACTCTACTCAAGAAACTTAACGAAAACATATAAGAACTTATATACATATATATATATATATATCTATATACAACATAGTTTAATTTAATCATACAAATTTTTTCTTTTTGCAAATGCAATATTTCTTAGCCTCTTTGTCTTGTGTGCATTTAGCTGTATTTTCATATTTACTCCTTCGATTAACGTCTTCTTCTACTGTGAGATTTAATGCTATTTCATTGGAACTAGGGTCACATTTAACGGTAGCGGCGAAAATTGCCTCTGGTGTGGTTTTTGGATTTACTGAAAATTCAATTCTGTAAGTCGATAAAGTCAAATCTTTGTCATTGTAATGTTGTTCAGCCTTCTTTGTATTACGCAAGGTGAGCTCACTACACACACTGCTCAGATTTTTATTAATTATATAGTCATTGATTCTCTCAACTATAAGTGAATTTAGACGTTTTATCGCTTTTTCGCTGGGTGATAAGATCTTGTATGGTGTACAAGTGCACCAATTTTCCGAGATTTCCGCATCAGGGCATGTACGATTTTCTGGTACTTCTCGAAATAAACTTTGACACCGCGTACAACCAGTAGCTGCTTTTATGGTAAAATTTGGTTGATTAATTTTCAGTAAATGCTGCATAGTCATATAGACATCATAGGGTGTAGTTAAACGTTGACAATTCATTTCTAAATTTTGTATGAGTTCGGGGTAAGCGTTACGAAACCATTTTGGTATTGATATGAAGAAGGTGGGTAAACGCGGTTCTAGAAAATCTCCTGGCAAAGTTAATAGCTTACCAAACCGCATGCCATGATCACTTAAAAAGAACACTATACTATTATCAAAAATGCCAAGTGTTTCCATTTCTTTTAAATATTTCAAAATTCTTGAATCCATCGTTGCAGGCAGAGAATAGTCGTTATGACTAAACGAATTAGTCCAAAATAAACCGAAATTTGGTTCGTATTGAAAGCGTGTAACGAATTGAAGAGCCATGTCGTATACGTACTCACCATTTTGGCGATTTCCGATACAATACTTAAGTCCGGCTTTTTTATTATAGGTTAAATGCTTCTCAATAGCCAAGGACATGGGGCGAAAGTAGTAATCAGTCGGCGGCTCTTGAAATCCTTTTTTTAAATAATTAAATGTACTCATAGCAGGTGTATCCTCACCATAAGCCGTATAATAGCTTTGCTTGTGAAACTCTTTCCATATGAAATTACAATTGTCCAAACCACCCACCTGCTTTGGCTTACAAGTTTCCTCTGCAGCGCTTTGATTTTGTCCAGTTAGCAAAGCCATTAAATTTGGGAAAGTATTATCACCGATCTGTAATATAATTAATTATGTTATCAATACAATTACATATATATATATACATATATATTGTAGTGTGATTGCACATTGTTGCTACGCATCCACTTTAAAGTGTGACAGAATTATGCAAATTCAGCAGAATTCTTTTGCAAAAAGAAAACCGAGAATTATGTCACACTTCAACTGAGAATTGCATTGTCGTAATGCAATACGACACTAGGCGCCCTAATCAAACTAGACCGTAACAATTGTTATATGCTTACGCTAGCATTAAGGTACCTGTTAAATTTAGTATAAATAGCTATACCAAAACTTAATAAAGTCAATTGTCAATTGTTATAAAGCAATTCACATAGCGTTTCATGCGCTAAAACTTAATCCGCCTAAATTTTGTAGACAGGGACCGCTTCTAACCGATCTAAGTATTGGCACTAAAAGAAGCAGATTGACTTGGCGGATTGAAGTCGAGCAGCATAGGAAATTATTCGACGACAGCACTCTGTTCACATATGTAGAAAGAAATCTTTCCAACACTGAATAGTAATAAACGTTATAACATTCATTACGTAAAGTATAGGGCTACAGTCTATAGCATTCTAAATTCTTATATATATATATGCAAATATGTATATATATGCAAATAATCCTCATCTCCAGAGTTTCTCATTTGGCATATAATGACATCGCCATTATACTCCGTGTTGTAGTTATAAAGACAGTTTATTGTAAGTGTTGAATAAAATGTTTGATAGCCCAATCTTGAGAAGATTTTGGCCACGAATATATAGGTCAAGATTTGCTTTGTTACCATTCGAAAAAATGTTAAAACTTATTTTACGTATCTTGGGCATCGACAAAAGAAGACAAAGGCTTCTTACTCAGTCAACAGGCATTGTTTAAACAGGTGCAAGGGTGAATACAACCATCTGGTCAATAAAGCGGGAGTGGTAGGGTACGCTAGTGCAATGTTTTCTGAATAAATTTTCCACTATATGGTCGACGTGGTCGTGTAGAAAGATTGTCCTGTAATGTCTTCTTAGATATTGCGACCCTTGTTCCTTTGATGATCAACCGAATTGCATTAGTTGTAATCAACAATGTTCCCTAGTAATGATTTTGTTTAATTAGAACGGCCGGGAACATACAGTACGTCCAGCTTATCACCCTGAATGTAGATATCAAAAATATTGGCATGTACTGTGTAAAACTATGATTTGTACATTTTTTGCAAAAGTTTAAGCATAAGATTTGAAGAGATTAGCAAAGTTTATGTTTAACAAACAGACTTGACGCTCCCAGACTTAGAGGAACCGGTGACGTTTTGTTTATAGAGTTTATAGCTGCAACACCGTTCCTTGACTGTGGCTATTTTTAAAATAATTTACTAACAGATTTTCCCCCGCCCCCTATAACTCTCCTAACAAAATGCGATACAACAAGTTTTAAACGATTGCGATTTTTAGGTAATTGACGTCAGTAATGAATGTTCCAGTTTGGCCAAAGGAAAATGTATTTCCTTTTTCTTAAGTTGTAAAGGTCTGCTAGTGAATATCAAAGACTCCAAAATTTCGGTTTAACCTGCGACACACAGCGCACACTAGTCAATATCGGGTCTTAGACGTAGTGAAGAGAACTTTATCTGACAATATCTGACTTCTCGAAATCGCACTGTGAAACACTTTAAAGATTCGAAAGTTTATGAGAGCAGCGTACCTTATTATAGCCTCGTAGTTCAAACCATTTTCGCTGCTTTAGATAATTAAAAGTCTTAGGCATAGTACGTCGAAAATTTATCCGCGAAACGCTGTCGATGCCCCATAAAATTAAAGACGGCTTGATTTTCGCGGTCACTTTGAAATCATAGCGCGTACGATTTTTGACTTGAACTAAGAAAAAAGCATCTTTTTGCGTAATAGTTTTATTATTTAATTTTAAGTCGCAAACAACTAGCAGGCTATCAATATGGGGAGGTATCATGTGATCTTGGGGAAAATATGTGCATGCTGATAACCTGCAAAATTTCAATTATAATTAAATTAATTTGTAACGAAATTAATATTTTAACGGTTCATATTCAGTTGGCAAGAAAATTACCATCCTATGTGAAAACAAGAATTTCTCGATTAAGCCTATTATTCGTTGACCCGCGAACAATGAGCTTTTTTTCTTCTTTCTGAAGGATGTATCAAACAAAATTTGCGGCTCCTAATCCATAACAGTGCACTTCAGTTACATCCGCAACAATTAATCATGTACTTCACAAATGATAGCGAAATTATCGGCGCATTTGTTTTCAGGGCCAAGCTATGAAACCAGTGAACCAGAACCGGTGTTTTTTTATAACTATCACTGAAGGATGAAGGATATACTCATTTTGTCAAAACGTTTGCAACACCTAGAAATAGTCTTCAGACACCCCACAAAGTATATCTATTCTTCATCGGCATTTTGCGATCGGAAGAATGTTTACTAGGCATCGTTACGAGCAGACGAATGCTCCGAACTCGATACTGATCAAGAATATTTATAACTTATACGATCTTTGAAAACTGCTTCGGAATGTTGCAAACGTTTTGACAAAGGAATATACTATCTATCTGCTTTGATGGCCATGAAAGCGAATCGTAGTTTACATAAGTGGGACGGAATAACTTTCTTGTCAACTTTTTATTTTCGTATACGTTACGTAATTTTAGAGTCCGAATTTGATCCTTTTCCCAAGCGTAAAATTTCCTGGTAGCAACATTGCAAAGAATCGTCTTGTATTGTCAAATTCTTATAGGGATTATATTGCTGCACAGCTTCCACATCCATGCGAAGAATATATTGTTTTGCATTATTATCAAAGACAACCTTAACTAAAGGTTTGCTCTTTGAGCAGCCTGTAGTAAAATGAGGTTTATACAACTTGCGTATCTCTGGCATTAAAGGATCTATATACGGTATAAAGCATTGACTTGTATTTAAAAAGTGTTTAAGCTCATCAGTTTCATTTGAATTAACTCGCGTTGACGGGATTCCTTTTAAGGTCAAATTTATTTGCATTTTACTGAGATTACTATGAAAACCTATTGAGTTTTTAAATGACCGATATGTGAACAATGTAAACAGGAAACTGTAAAATATTATATTTAACATCCATTGAGCGTATTTGCTAGATCTAATATTGATAACGGTATTATAACAATTTTTGCATATATTTGTTTCATTAGGATTCGGTTCACTACTATCACTAGTTGCCAGTCGTTCATATCTATATCCATGACTTTGTTCAGTACCCATTTTTTAGGATAATTCTTTTATGCTACGAAGTTTCTATATGGTTTTTGATCGATTGATTTATCGCGAAACTTAAAAAACGTTTACAAGTTATAATGGCGACCGTCAAGCATATAACAACGCAAAAATTTATTCGTTTCTCGTCTAACGATCATCGATAAAAGCGCAGGTTATACAAATAAGCAATCAATCATTATGAAGTTAGAAACACAGACGAAATTAATAAACGGTTACTATTTATTTTTTTTGAATATTGAAAACAAAGATTGCAGAGCTCAATATATACGCGAGTGCATTCGCTTCCTTTAGAATAATTTAACTAAACTACGATATTTCTCTAATTAAGTAATGAACTCTTACATGCCTTGATGCACAATCATGTACTTGTACTTTTTTCTATTTAATACCGACATAAGTCGGAATGTTACATTTGTTCTTGCCTTTGTAACGGACAAAATTAAACACACTATCAATGGTCGCGGAGTTTTCAATGCAGGCGACCATATATATACATATTCATTCACGACTGCCTTTAAGCTTATACTCCTTAATAAATAAATAAATAGTTTTTTGCTGGAAAAAGTCAGAATTGATTTGCACTTGGCCACCGTTCCCTTCATTCGCCAGAATTGAAACAAAAAGTTAAAACTTGAATTTCATTCTAAGACGATAGTCGCAGATCAAGTTTGAAAGACAATAGCTTGTTGACGTAAGATGCATCGATAACGAGGGTTAACCAAAAGCTCGAAGCAAATATTAAAACGTAAAATTTGACACAAAATTTGCCATGAAAAGCCATCAATTAGGCAAAGGGCTTTAACTTACAACCTGCAAAAGATATTACACTTGGTACAAACATGTGATTTAGTACAAAGGCTCTCTCAAAATTGGCGTAAGAAGTTATTTTGTTAGAAAACTCGAGCTTAAATTCTTTATTATTTCATGACCAGACTATCGGATAAAAGACGTCCAAGAATTTGCTGAGGCAATCATACTCTGGTGTCGATTTTTCTTTGTCCCGTAAACTATTCAGCGAACTTTCTTGATCGCTGTGCCTGGTCAGTTGGGATTAGCTCTTGTGTTAATTGAACCTATAAGCATGACTAAGCAAATCTTTCTATCTATAGCTTTTCAAGATGTACTCCTCTGCGTTGATGGCATTCTCAGCAAGAAGCTCACGAACTGCTACACCGCGCTATGATACCGTAAAAATGGAAGGCTACTGAAAAGGCCAATGTATAATAATACGTACTCCGATCCATCAATTGACGCTAACTAATGAAATATGCTTCGATATCAATAGAAGATGAGGCATACCAAAGGTTCGTTCCAATGCAAGTATAATTCTGTTCCTCATTTTCTACTAACCAGATATTATTTGTTTTAAAATATTTCATGCAGTCAATCACGTGCAGCCAACTCTTACTTAACTTATTCCTGCAATTCTTGGGAATAATTATTTAAATAATTTTAATATCTTTTGATGATGAGATTGGAATATCCTGCCTATGAAGAGAGTATCATTATCAATATTTGTAGTCTTGCGTTTCTTGGAAACATAAATGTGTTATTACTTTCTTAGCTTTTAAGTTTAAACGGTGTTTTTGTTTTCTTAAATTCTGTCATAATAGGCAAAGAATGCAATTTACAAAGCATAGCAAATATTAATCTAAGCCCTGTTGGAATTGCCGTAGTTAAAACGTTTATATATACATAGCTATTATTTAGCTGAAAGAATAGACTCAATCCAAAAAATTTCAGATCGATTAAGAGTTGTATTAAGAATCGACAAAAAATACTTTACTTGTTTGTATGTATAGGACTGTGATGGTGGGTATAAAATATTCGCCCAAAGGCAAATATAATTTTCATCGTTTTTTTTTTTTTTGTTTGCTTTGTATATTTTCTATTGCTATAAACATAAACATATGTTTGGTTTTATAGGCAGATAAAAAATAACAACAAATGGATGTATGCACCAATGTCACTTATAATGTAATAGAAATATAATTAAATTTGCTAAGTTGTTTCTTCTGTTGAACAACTCTATTTTAATGAAGAGATTAATAATAACAACACGTGTAAGAAAGTTATATTTATCTGACGTATTCACATAAACAGTTTTAAGCCAATTATGTTCGAAACTGAATAACTGCGTACAAAAGAGAAAGGGGAATACCGGAGTGCAGCTCGATCTCCCTGAGAAATAATAGTCGGTCGAACTAAAAAATCTATAAAACGAGTGAAGAAAAAAAATTACAAACGGATAAAACCGATTATAAAATATCGTAAACCAAATACATTTCTTCACCTGCTGTCGTCATAAAATACCATATATTATTACAATATAAAAACTTGCTTTCGTGAAAATTCTTATACTGGTGGCAGTCCAAAACGTGAGCCGCCGATGCCGACTGAACTTATTATTAGCTTCTTCTTGTAAATATTGGCAAATAAAGGCTTATTTCTCAGAGGAACGCCTATCTATGGAGATTTCCGAGGTAACTGGCACTGTAAATTTTGTGCATATAATCATCAGTATTCGTAAAAATCGGCCGATCGAATCAACACCCCGTAGCGCTCGTTTTGGGGTCAAGAATCATCAAGGTATGTGGAAAGTTTGCTTTTGTAGATTGAAAACAATTAACGGACAGACGAGCAGACGGCCTTGAATCAATTCAGAAAATCAATGCGGAAAAATGGTATGGAAATTTGCATTGCAACAAATTTAGTATACCCTTAACAGAGGTGATGATGGGTGCAAAAATGAATTCTATTAAAAATACTTATGAGATATAAAATATAAATGATTTTTATTAAATTGTAAATATTATCTACAAACGTTTCTTAACTATTTAAAATACCTTGCAATCATTCATAAATGATTATATGAAATGTATTAGTTTGGGGAAAAAGAAATCCATTATTTTTATATGAACTTCAGGACTTTATTTAACATGCTTCGGATTGTCCGATTTGGGTCAAATATGCACCGTTTTGTTGTATGATTTGTTGCCATTTTAAAGGTAACTTCAAAATGCCTCTCTCATAGAAGTCCTGGTCTCTATTTGCAAAAAAACTCTAGTAGTCGATTTTCACAATCCTCCCTAGATTCCAATTTTTTATCATTAAAGAAATTTTGCAATGCAAGAAAAAGATGATAATCGCTTGGTGCCAAGTCCGGACTGTATGGCGGATGCATTAAAACTTCCCAACCAAGCTCCCGAAGTTTCTGGCGAGTCACTGTAGATGTGTGTGGCCTAGCGTTGTTCTGGTGGAACACGACACCTCTCGTGTTGGCCAATTCTGGCCGTTTCTAGTCAATCGCTATCTTCAAACGGACCATTTGTTGACAGTAGAGATCAGAATTTAGCGTTTGGCCATATGGAAGCAACTCATAATAAATAATCCCCTTCCAGTCCCACCAAATGCATAGCAAAACCTTCCTGGCCGTTTGAAGTGCTTCACCGCTCTTTGACCACGATCGTTTTCGCACAGGGTTATCGTATATGATCCATTTCTCATTTCCAGTCACCATCCGTTTAAGAAATGGGTCTATCTCATTCCGTTTGGCCAAGGCTTCGCAGATGGAAATTCGATCCATCATGTTTTTTTCTGTTAATTGGTGTGGCACCCAAACATCGAGCTTCTTTTTGAATCCAGCTTTGTGTAAATGGTTTAAAATTGTTTTATGGTCGATTTTTAACTTCAACTTCGATCATTTCTCCGATTTTATCGACATTTTCGACGACCGGCCTACCTGTGCGAGGTGCATCTTTAACATAAAAAATTCCTGAACGGAATCTACGAGACCAAAATTGCACATAATTGGCTGTTACAGTATCGGAACCATAAACACCATTCACAATTTTAGCCGCCTGGCTTGATGATTTGCATTTTCGCCTTTGTCAAAGAAAAACTGTAAAATGTACCGAATTTTCTCTTTGTTCACTTCCATTTTTAACACGCTGTAACTCACAACTGAATGCACCAAACAAAAAACAGCAAAAGAATTTTTTTACTGCGAAATGTCACCTTTTCAACGAGCATAAATCTGAAATTGTTTGATTGATACTTTACGAGAAATCTATCAATGCAGCCATCTACCGAAAAAATAATGGATTTCTTTTTCCCCAAACTAATATAAATAGTCGTGGTTGCACAATTGTCTTGATGTTCGCTTAAACAATTAAGACAATAGCAATTAATGACAAATTTAGTCGCATAGGTTTTCATTGATTACCACGACAAGTTAACTAACAAATTATCTGTCGATTAAATCCGTCGCCGTAAACTATGAACAAACGATAGAAGACTAACGACTTAAGACTTGCTTTAAGGTGAATCTTAAATATCCTCTGTACTCAAAGCAAATACAAGTAAGTTAAAAGTCAGTTAGTCGCTTCAAAAATATAGTTTGTTCCTAACACCACGTATTGCGTTTGAATAAATGAATCGATTGTATTTGTCCCGATTATACGAACCCCGCATAATTTTAAAAGAACATCAAGCTTTAAATCAATACATCATAAGGTTATTTTTCCCATATTATCCCATTTATTCTCGGTGTATTTCCGCCTGGCGCCGAAAGGAAGCGAATAGCGAAGGCACTCATTCCGTAAACAAGTACCATCAGCATGTTGCAATCAGCTGCAAGCATAGTTTCATCATTTACGGCTTTCCACACCACCGTGAGGTACATTGGTAGGCGCGTTAGTTAGTTTTTGTTTTGCACTTATTAAACTAATTTCTCATAATTCTTACTTCCTGTGAATACCGATTTCCTTCCTCCTTGAACTCTATCAAAACAATTTCAGCCAAATCCTCCAGGCTTCCATGTGATGACGTCCTCCATGAATGATAGCAAGTGCCTTACAGCCAAGCATCTTTGGAGCATTGGCGCACTCTCACATATTTACGTACTATCCTTACTAAGACATCTCATATTTGTCGTTAACTTTTAGCATTTTTATTTGTATCGACCTGTATTTGGTTTTGTTTTTTATACAAAATTCCGTATGTTCTTTAGCTAGCAAATTTTATTCTCATACAGATCTTATAGCGGCAAAATTTTCATATAATTGCAATGTTTAGCTTTTTTAATATCTATTTCAACCTGTTTTAAACCATCCTCTTTTCGTTGTTTTCTCTCTGTTAGAAGCTTTATTATCACTAGATTTTCTTAGATCTTTTTTTTTCTTTTATTCATTTTGTTCCTTTGACCACAACGCACATACGTCCAACCTCTGACGATGTCTTACTTAGTTTACTTAGTTAATTTTATTTCAAAAAAACGACCCTTATGCTATACAAATGGACTTCGCACTTTGTTCTCTTAGAGATCTTAATTAACGGAATTCCGTTATTATGAATAACTCTACTCTACTTGTGAAGGGACAAAGCCGACCGACAGAAACCTCCTACACACATATACGCGGACGTTATAAACCTTTTAATAATATAAAGCAAACTAAAATTATTTATGCAAACGTTTTATTCTTCTATTACCTCTCGATTTATGTAAGATATAAAAAATTCAAACTTTTTAATTAGGCATTGAACCTTTTCACGCGTAAGCACCTCCAAGCCACTGGTTAAAGCAAATGCTTTTTGAAATTCCATATCTCGTTTTTTTGGATGTTTTAAAATTTTCTTAGTTAACGAGAATGTTGTTAGAATATCACTTACGGCAGCTAGTTTGAAACGATGAGATGCCATTATCTGTCGAGCATCTGCTTGCAATTGTTCGCGATCCCCTACAAATGGATTTTTCTCTGAACCTGTCGGCATTAATTGAATTGCACCATTTCCAGTTGTTAGTGCTTCCATTTCTACGGAAATAATGGCGTCTTCTACATCTTCAAAATTTGTACCAAATTTAAGGCAAAGACTGAGATTTACCAGATATACGCAAGCTTCATGGGGATTAATCAAATGTTCGCCTCCAAAAAAGCGAACCATACAAGTGTAAGCACTTAATATATTCCAGAGATTATAGTGTAAACAAGGAGATGGTTCCTTTTGGCAAATTGCAGAAAATTTCGGTATATTATTCATTATTGGAGGTAGGCTGGAATCGTCATCACTTTCTTTTCCTAATTCCACAATTTTGGGATTTGGCTTTCTTAACCACCACGGTACATAAGCTGGCACTAATTTCATTATATCACCAGTTTTAAGCATATTTTTAAATTCTTCACGTTCTCTTGAAGTTAAACACTCCCAAACGGTATCTGCATCATTGATGTCAACGCCTTTTAAACGTTCCGCCAAGTCGACTTCATCATCTTCGTTATCGTTTTCATCTAGCTCTCGGTCATTTAACGGCGACGATTCGTCATCATCAGAATCAATTAACTCATCATTTTCGAAATCTTGCGGTTGGAAACCAGCATCTGCTTCTTGTATCCGTCGCAATATATCGTAAATCTTGCGTATATCTTCCTTGCTCTTGTTCGCCGGAGTGGAAGTTAATTCATCTTGTATACATTGCTGAAACATTACACAAAAGGAATATGAAAACTTAAAATGCAATAAAATGCACTCCACTAAAATGATCCTTGTACGTACCTTGTAAAACTCTTCTGAACATTTCAAATGTTGTTCAGCTTTATAACAGGTTACGGAGCAATATATTATGTTACAACGTGGGCAAGTATATTTAAATTGCGCCTTGCAGCATCTATAATAATTACAGTATTAATACTAATAAAATAAAATAGAGGTATAAAATAAAATTACACTCACATTTGGCAATTTTCTGTAGACATCGTCTCTTGAAGTCCCTAAAACAAAAATCAGCTGCTGTGGTAAGAGTTATTTTTTACTAAAATTGAACATATCTGTCTTTGATTTTAATACGTAGATTACTAAATATAGGTTACATAAATGACTTATGAATTCGAAATAAATCATAATTGAAATTAAATTCTAAAATATATTAGTTTCTGTTGTAATAAAGAAACATCAAAATTCGGAGATATATTTTGTTTTTTTATGTTTGTTAGGAAAATTTAAAACACTTGACAACCCTGCTGAAAAAATGATTATTGCGTTTTATCGACATTTCCATTAGCATTTATCAGTCATATTTACTTCAGTTTTCGTTAAAAAGAGAAGAGAAGGAAGAAATCATCATACGAAGAATGTGAAAATGTGCTTTCCTGCTGCCAGTTAACTCAGCTGAAATTCTTTACAAAATCTGTGGCGAGTGGTCTAGCTTAGACAGCGGTCGCGTTTTTAAGGAAGTTCGATTCGGAAAAAAAATTTTCTGCCCGATTAGGAATTAAAAGCAAAATAAAAAAAGACGCGCACATTTTTGTCCCGAAATAAAATTATTTTAGTAAGTGAAAATTATTGGAATTATTGTCAAAAATGGAGGATACGACAAAATCAAATAATGTGGTGAACGGTGATAATTACGAAAACGAAACTTTGCATCCTCTAAATCTACGTAAATCAAAAGCAAATGTGGTACTTGGAGCGCAATGGGGAGATGAGGGTAAAGGAAAAGTTGTAGATATGTTGGCGTCTGAAGCGGACATTGTTTGCAGGTGTCAAGTGAGTAAAGAGTAAAAGAAATGAGAAAATTTTTTTGCATCCCCCAAAAAATTAAACGAACAGAATAGATATTGACAAAAATAATTCTTTTTTATTGCTACAAAAGTCAAGGACGTTCATTAGTTTTTTGCTGTTAGTCTATGTGGTGTCTGTAACCTTTTTGCTGCGTATCTTTACTTCTTGGGTGATGCGTAATTCTGTTTTTCGCTCACGTTCTGTGATTTTTGCGTTGCTCTTTTAGTCAATATTGAACTGATGAGAGCATAAATATTAATCTAAAGTTTTTAATGTTTAATTTATACACAGTATGTGTCAGCGCAAATGATAAGTACTTTCAAATTGATTTTCCGTAACCTATTGGATAACATTTCATAATATTCGCTTTATAGTAACTTTCTTCTTCTGTGTGTATATATATATAAAGACTCTTGCGTAAACTAAGCCTAAATAGTTAAAAGTTTTACATTGTGCACTTAATTTTGTATTTTGATTAAATATCCAATCTTATTTAAACGTGGAGGGCCTATGTAGCGAATATTTTCAGAAGAGGTTGGAGTCTGTTTAATTATAAAAATGCCTTAAGTTTAAAAGTACAATAACTGTCCGTATTATGCTTTTTTTAAAGCGGTTTTGTATTGAGCCTTTATTATCTAAAAAGGTAAAGAGATATAAACCAAAATGATGTATTATTTTATATACATGCAGTAGTTCCCGTTTGCTCTTGAACTTATTCAATATCGTTTATTACAAGTTGTGCCAAATTTTTAACAATAAAAAATCTCATCTCTAAGACGGAACTAAGCTGATCCAAAAAAATTTGAAACCGTCCTAAAATATCGGGAGTTCGCTTTCCGCTAAACAATGCGTTCTAATACATGCAAGAGATGCAACTATTCTCAAATATGCCGTGAAATATTGGCCGATTAATAGTAGGTGACTTTACCAAAATATATTAGGGAAAAAAAGCTCATATAAAGAAAAATTCATCTTTTATTCGTATATTTTTCTGAAATAACTGAAATTCTCAAAATTCCCAAAATATTGCTTTACTTCATTCATAAGTTTTAAGAAAGTATTTAGCAATGATCGAAAAAATTTGTTTTGAAAAACAATTTTTTTTCTATTCTTATATATATATTTTTTTAATTTCATATAATAATAAGAATGAATTTGCTGTATTATCTAATCTGTTTAATTAGTATAGTAATGTGTGTTTTAAAATTTTCACTTGCATTTAACACAAACGCAAATAGTTATATAATTTTTACTTTTATATCAATTGTGGGTGTTCGCACGAACGGTCAGACAAGTATACATAAATTTATAGCAATTCACAACATTCATTGGCAGTATTTTTATACTCACCTATGAAGGAGAAGATTATGCTAGAGGTGTCAGGCCTTTTATAACGTCTGAAAATACGCATCAGAAACAATTTAATTTATATTTAACTGTTCTGCTTTGGATGGTGAAGCGAAATTAAACATCAATGTCTTTGTCAGATATGGTTTAAAAATTCAAATTTGTACATTAATGGCATAAAAGCATCATCGCTGCGCATATAAGCGGCTAACAAGTAAGGACCATCCAAAGATATTTCAGTTTCCGCAACAATTCTCTTGGAGGTTGCCAGTCCCTGTAGTGGTCGGCACGTATTCTTTGTTTCTTCAGCACACTGCATGGTACCGTGTGCGTAGTTAACCCCTCTATATCTCGCTTAGTTATACATTTTGCTTATAACAGAACAAATCGAAGTAAAAGGGAGAAATATCTCTATAAAAGTTTGCTCTTCGGCAATGAAGTCTTTGATACATTCTTAACCCTCGTTCGCAGATAAAATATGAAACTGGGCATATCCCACTCATAAATATCTTTGCAAGCGTTGAGAGAGAGGACATGTTGGAAAATAATTAAAAATGTATAAAAATGGATGATGACAGAATGAAAAATTTTACTTGGTATTAGCCAATCGTTTACTTTAATTACGATCTAAAATTTAAGCAAAAACAGATATAAATTTGACCGACTGATACGGTCACGACCAATAGGAAGAAAGCAAATTAAATTCGGTTTGAGCCGAATTTTTCATATACATTGCTCCCATTCCAAAAACAGCTCGAAGAATATGAAGTTTTCATACCTTATAATAATGAGATACATGACAGATTTTTTCCACTTATTATATACAGGTAATGTGGGAGGGTAAAAAATCCACTTGTTTGCTTTTGAAAAGGGAGGGATTTAAGCTGTAAGGTGGCGATGTCTTTGGAGTGATTTGGTTCATTTTGAAAAGCAATTATAGGAGACAAGTTCTAATGTTTTTGCCAAATTCGGAGCTAAAATCTCAATTTTGGAGACTAAAATAATGTTTATCATATGCAAATAAACCGACATACGGACAAACGTGCCTAAATCGATTCAAAGTATGATACTGATCAAGGCCCACTGAAGCATCCTTCCAGACGTTGCAAACGTTTTAACGAAATGAGTATACCTCAGCCTTCGATGGTCGGCATAAGAAGAGAAATGACTTTTATTTATTTATTTGAGATGATCCAAAGAGATTTTAACTATTTAATAAAAAAAAATTCGTATTTGTTTCACAACGCTACTACACTCTACTGAAAAACGGTAACACATTGTATTTGTTCTTCTGTTTGCGATACCCATTAGCAAACGCATAGAATATACGAATTCTTGTTTAACGCAAAATTTGCTCCCCACGTGGTCTATGTAATGTACTGTACTTATCAGTCGGTCTTTTTTATAGTTTTAATTATCATTTATTAATTACATTTCGAGATAAATTGTTTTATGCAGAATAGGCGGTGTAGCACATGCATAATATATATAGTCTGTGGATATACCTGTTAGCCTAGTAGCATAGGAACTACATTGGGGTTGCATTATTAAGGACTGAGCACAAAATAAATAAGAACATTATACTTGCTCATCGCCAAAACTTTTATACCCGTGGTATATGGGTTGTAATTTACGAGTATCAAGCAAAAAGCGCGAGTAGCAAAGATATTCACAGATTTCATTATAGAGGCATGTGGACGTTGCAGGCGTGTCCATTGACCGGCTTGGGTCATTTTAAAATTCTTTTACAAACTTATACGCGACAAACGGACAAGCTTAGGTGCATTCCGAATTAGAAATTGGCCAAGAATTTATATAATTTATGGGATTTTTGAACCTCGGTCTACCGACTTGGCCCATTTTCAATACCAACCTGCATGTAACAACAGCAAATGTTTCTGCCATATTTAAGGTCGATAGTTTCATTTTTGGAGCCAGAAGAACGTTTGCGATAGGCATTACAGAAACGCACGGACGGACATGCTTAAATGTATTCAGAATTTGATACTGATCAAGAGTAGATATACTTTGCGAGATCTCTGAAATGTGCTTTTGTGCGCTGCAAACGTTTTGACAAAATGAACACGCCCGTTAATGAATATAATAAATATCCTTGACTTAGCAAAAAAATGTTGCCGATAAAAATTGACGAAAATTACACCTTTTTGGAGACAAACTGGCCCTATGGAAAACTGAATACCTCTTTTTATAGGAAAAGTTCCTTTGTCGTAAACTTTTATTTTGAAGCCAATTTTCGGTTCTTCCATAATAAGTACTTTTAAATATCGATTTCTTCTGACTTCTGAAACTTTATCTAGTCGGAGAAAAAGAAAATTTTAAATTACGTTTTAAAGTTGGTTAAATGTCAAACACGACTTAATGAAAATAAAAAGTAAAGTTGCGCCCCTTACAATCTCATTGCTTGTCAATATGTAGCGGTCACGATCTATTAACAATTTTCTCTTTATATGATTTCTGTACTTTTACACTTACCATCGGAGGGTATGTTCATTTTATCAAATTGCTTGCAAAGTTCAGAAGGAAACTTCAGAGACCTCGTAACACATATTCATGTGTTCATCAGTACCAAATACTGAGTTCATCTAGGCATGTCTGTCGCTCCGTCCGTTCGTTCTTGTGACTCTGTGTGCCAAACATTGTTCTGGTCGCAAAAGTTGAGAAAATCTGTCGAGACTATCGAGAGTTTGTTCTTCTTCTTCGAGCGTATAAAATAGATCCGGATAAAGGATAATCGTAAGATGATTAATTTTTATTTATTTTTTTTGTTATTCGTGTTACGCTGCATTGATAGAGGGTGCATATAATATCAGAACTCTTTGGCTTACACTTTCAAGATGTCACCAATACGTGACAGTAGACTTGTTATTATGTTGTTATATTATTATATAATCTAACTGGAACACGATTAAAATTATTCTTTATATTCTCTGTTTAATTCTGGACTTTTTTGTTCTTACATTTGAAAAAATGAAAAGAAAAATAATGTCATTCATTAGCTCATTATTTGTTTACGTCCATCATGCACATATAAATATTGAAATAATGCCAAGAATTTTTTTTTAAATTTTTATTTCTAATTTTCTACACTTTATCATTTCACTTTCGAAACAATATATATTTTAAAAAAAAATGTTTTAAAATGCATATAAATATAATAATGTTTTATATTGTTACAGGGAGGGAATAATGCTGGACATACAGTTGTAGCAAATGGAACAGAATTCGATTTTCATTTATTGCCAAGCGGCATTGTTAATGAACAATGCATATCTGTTATCGGTAAGTAAAGGAAAAAAGTTAAATAAGAAAGCTTTGTATATATATATATATATATATATATATATATATAGCGGAAATTCTTCAAAACATTCATTACCCGATACCTAAGCGACTTAATTATACGAATACAATACAACTACATTAATAATCAATGGATTGTTTAGTTCCGGATTTACGTCAATATTCAATAGATATTCATTTGTATTGCGCTGCTCAATATTTTTGCGAAATTCAAAACGAGATTTACCAAAATAGGTCGGTGACAAAGTCATGTCGAGATTTCTGAAATTTTTTTGGTTCATGGTTGCCCTGCTACCTTGTTTGAATATATAACACACAGGAGGACAAATTTTTGCCATTTTATCTAATAGCAGGCTATACTATCGCGCATTGGTCGGCCTTCAAGCCATACAAGAAAGGCGACAAGTCATTGATAATTAAAACAAGGAATTATGGGATTTTTCTTAACATCTCTAGGATTCGTTCCCGAAATTTCGATATTGACGGCATATCTCATATACACACCGTTGCGCAACTCAAAGGTGACTTAAATCCAATTCCGAACGATTTGTGTAAGAGCCCAAAGCTCTATATTTACGATATAATATGAATTACGAGCAAAAGATTAAACGAAATGTAACAAAATCGAGAGATTAGGGGATCAGTGATTGCACTTTTCACCGCCATCAACTATCGCTATCGAAGAGCATAACTGAGGTAAAACATCTAAAATTTAACACTAGGGAAAGCGCCGACCTTCATTGTTGCAATTCCAGTTCACTAATATCTTTAAGGCTCGCGTAAAGAGAAGTTTTGAGACGTGCGCCGTATAGCCGAGACCATAACCTGTCTATTAGCGTTGTAAAGGTGAATTCGAACATAACCTGTAAAAATCGCTTATTCAGCTTTTCGCTCGAAATTCCCAGAAATTCTATACTGATTCAATAATAATTTTATCACAAAAATGACAAAAGATTACCAATCGAAATGGCACATACTTGGTTTGCGAAAATTTATTTAACGTAAAGCAAAGTCACTATTAGTTGTTAGTTGTGGAGGAGAGAGAGAGAGAGAGTTGATATTAGTTTTTGGTGAAAAAAAACTATGAAATCTTCCTTATGTGATACATTAAAAAAAAGAAAAATTTGTACTTAACTTTTCTTCAATAACTGACAATGGAAGGACAGAAACAAGCTTAACTTAACCTGAACTGAAGAAATACAATCTCGCGCTGTTTAAGACTATATTCATTAAAAATAATTTCTAATGAAAAAGCGATAAAATTAATAAATTTCGCGACATTCATCGTTAATTAATTTAAAACTAAAAAATATGATAATATTAGTTATTATAAAGGAAATACAAAAAATGCTAAATTCAATAAATATTGTTTTTATTGGTGACGTCGACATAAGCGAAAGTTTCGCATGGTATGTGCTTCTGCATTAAGTTACATTATTAACAAATGCATATAAATTTCTTGATATAAAAATATTTAATAAACGCAATAAACCGAATTATATATGAATTATTAATGAGAGCAGACAATTGCTATCAAACATTCTTACATAATAATTTTCTTCATTAAAATATTTATACATTGAAAAAGGAAAATAAATAAATAAAAGTATATTTTATCTCTCACAATTGTACCCTACTTTAGGAGCGCAACAACATATCTTGAACAAATATTCGATTTGAGATATCTTAACTTGTTGTCTAAATATTCCGAACTTTTGCTAGTAATTGGGTAACACGCCTTACTTAGAATAATCTTTAAAAGAAAATATTCTTTATTTTATAAATTTCCCAATCAAAAGTTGCTCTTACAGATAGTCGGCCTTAGTTCGACCAAAGTGAAGAAGCAATTCGAGACCAAGCCTTTGCAGAAATATGTTGTAAGATATAAGAAGTAAAATTTGAGGGATATTGCTTAGTTGACTTCGCTCGATGGACTAATTGCAACACTGTGCTAAGTGATTGAAAGAGAACTGTTTGAATCAATAAGTCAATGCGAATCTAATTTATTATTATTATTATTATTATTATTATTATTATTATTATTAATGTAGCCAGAGAATAAATTCTAAGACTAAAAGTCTTAAAGCACTAACATCTAGGGCTATCGGCTTTTATTAAAAACTCTACCGTACTTGGGATTTGAACCCACGACCACGAATCTAATTTAATGTCATCCCGTTTTGAAGAAACACTTAAGGAATCTTAAGCGGTTTAACTTAATAAAAGTCCGGTCGGAGGCAGAGTGCTAAGCTAAGTAGGTTTTATGTCGTACTCAATACAATATCATTTTTATTTAGCCGACGTAACGAACGACGGATTTAGGGTAATCCGAACAAAAAAAAACATTTGTTTTTTAACTGGGGTGCGGTAAGATTGGTAGGGGTTTACAGGATTAGAACTCGAACAACAACGGACATCGGCGCTAGCTCTAGCGATTATTTTAGTGACTTAGTGAAATCGACATAGTCCCTGGACTCATTTGTGGAGTCAAAACATAAGACAACAATTCCGATTTTATCTCCCCGAACCACTTGAATTTATTTACCTTAGCTTATGCGTTGTGCAAGCCGAACATTTACACAACAACAAATGTTTTTGCGAATTCAAAAAAGTATGAAAAATCGTGCATGTCGAGTATAAATCTTATCTGAGTGAAATTGAATCGTATTGAAATGCAATAAACGCTAAGAGTAGTGGTATTCGGTAAGCGATTAGCACCCACTTTTCCCTGAAATGTCACTAAAATATTAGTTCCTTGCGGGTAACCTGGAAATTGTGAGTTTGACGCAAGGGTTCAAATATCGAAGTTCACACATTTTATAGATCGCAAGTGACAAGTGGCCGACATCACTAATATTACAAGGGGATTACATTAAGATTGGGCAGCTGTATATACCTCTAACAATTGTTTTGGACGTTTTGTTATACCAAAAACAATTCACAATCATTGGCCGAATCTACTCCTCTGATCTCTATCCTTTTGATCTTTTGTTTAACTTAAAGATCGGGAATTTCGAGATGTTAATTAACGGAATTTAGTACATCCGGAAAACCACTATCACAAATAAATTAGCTTAGACAGTTGTCTTCATTGTCTTTTGATATAATCTTTATAGTTATAAGGACAACCGCTATTAAAACTTCCCGGCAAAAATTGCACTTTAACAAGCTGAAAGCATGTGAACAAGCAAGAAAATTATTTTCGGCGATATCCGAAAAATCTTCTGCAGTCATCACCTCTATTTCTTCACGTGCTTCTTCCGTGTAATGAGCAGAAAATCCATTTTTCCCCTTTTGAATAACAGTTCAAGTATTTGGTAAGAAAAACCTTTTCAAGTATCGAGTTGATATCGCACATAACGTTGCAAACGTGCTAACATCAGGCAATAGTGGCCTAGCTCTCGTGCCTGCTTACATATACGATAAGAATAATAAGTTCGTTGGCAGGAAAAAAATTGTGCAAATTTTAAGCAAAGTGACTTTAGTTTGCAATTTTTTAGATATTTTCACATATTTTATTATATAGATATTTCGATTTATTTTATATATATTGAAAATCGATTGGATCATACCCCGTTACAAGCGACGAATTGTTTCTATTTTCAGAATAAAACTGAAAGTTTATAAGTATTTAGCAAAAAGGAGAGGGAAGTTATTTAGGGGAGAACGTTTACGACAGTTTCTACACAGTTGCGCAGATGAACGGACCGACGTACGTTCCAAATTTGGAACTGGAATTTATATACTTTGTGGGGTTTTTGAAGCTTGCTTTTGGGCGTTATAGAACTACAGTAAAAGTCCCTTATTCGCGGATGAAAAAATGCGACTAATTCCCATAGTCGCGGCTATAAATTTCTTTATCCGCGGTTTTTGAGAATGTAAACAAAGAGAACGAAAGCAACCTTATTACTCAATGAATATCCCAAATCTAGGTCATATCAGCTAAGTAATTTTTCCAAATAACAAATTGCCTAAAGAGGGAAAAACTAAATGCACATTCATTCGCATTCAATTAAATTGATTTTTTTTTATTTTGTCGTCTAGGAACGTATTCCCTATAATCCCAGATAAAATACAATTCCGTTTTCACGGTCTCTGTATTCGTGGCATTTTTGTGGAACGTATCCCCCGCGAATAAGGAACTTTTACTATATTTAAAAAAAAATGCAATTTTGATCCACTATAATATTGGGTAGGTCTTGTCAATTGCAGTCACGTTCAAATTTTTCCAAATTTATCTGCTATAGTTTATGCTATAGTAATGAGCAAAAAAGCAGTTTTTTATTCATGTTGAAAAATAGACGTGTCTTCGCTTTACGTAGTTTTGTGTGGTTCGACCAATTTGGCCCATTTTCAATACCAACCAGGGTGTGAAAACTTCCATTGTTTTTGACATATTCGGACTTGATAGCATAAATTTTGCGGCGAGTAGAATATTTACAACGAGCATTGTACAAACCGACAGGCGGACATGCTTGATTCAATTTAGAATTGGATGCAGGTCAAGAATATATGTAATTTGTGAGGTCTCTGAAGCTTCCATCGGGACATTGCAAGTATTTTGACAAGATGAGCATACCATTATCTTTCGGTGATGGGTAATAAATATCCTCGACTTACAAAGACAGCTTTGTCCATAAAAGTTACATATATTAAGCGTAGGAAATTTGGATCCCCCGAATTATATAACGGCTCTCGTGAGAAGCGAGCCATGAAAGGTTTAAGAGATCTAATTTTTAATTCTCTATGATGAAAATAGGTGAACTATAATAATTGGACCAGGTCTGTTCACATGTTGGATCCCATCCCAAGTCATGTATGCTCCCATTGAAAGTATGCTTTGGAATATGTTGTCACGAAAATTGACGAACGTTGGTAGCTGAACGAAATAGTGTAGAGTATTTACACTATGACTATTGACCGACCGTGATATTTTAAATTATTTTGAAATAAATTTAACTTTCTTATCATGTTCACTG